GAGATTATTCCTAAGGGGATAATCAAACACCCCAGGACTAGGACCAACAGGACATTCCTGGTCAAGGACGATAAAGAAAAAAGATAAGGGCTGGGACACAGACACTCAGTTCTGGGCACAGAGACATTCAGGCTGTGAGTGAGATACCGAGAACTAACCAATCACAAAGACACAGGTGGAGCTTTAGAGTAATCAAGGAAAGAAGGTCTCTATTCCCTGAGGTCCGACTCCACTTGGGCTTCCTTGCCCCTCCCTGGCCTGGTTCCACCGGCCTGGGAGTCCCACTTTATTTCTGCTCCTTTTCTGCTCAATAAAGTTTTTCTTTCTCTAAACAAATCTGCCTCTTCTTGCTTGCTTGCCTGAGTGTCAAGCGAAGTTCCTGTTGCGGGTTCATGAGACACCAATGATACCGAATGCGGGTGGAAATTGCAAGAGATGGGAGAAGACAAACTTGTTAATTCTTATCTGACAGACACATCATTTGTAACCATATCACCATCCCGTGGTGGTGTAGTGGCTGGGACTCAGTGCTGCCCCTGCAGCCTGGGATCTGTTCCTGGCTGGGAGACTAGGCCTGAACACCTGCAAGTTCGGTGTCATTACCTAAATGTTGTTGTTTTCTGAGTCAGTGGGTTTGGAGTGTGGGGTCCTTGTGTTCACTCTGGGAAAGGTTTCACCAGAGCTCCCATTTCAGTGACACACAGAGTTCCTCAGGTGAGTTTCTTCACGAAACAGAGACATTAGTTATATTTAAAGGGCAGGTTTATTAGGGAAGGGATAAAACAGTGAAAGACACTTGCACAGACACAAGCAGGCAGGAAGAGCTGCCCCACAAGGGACAGGTTTGCTGAGAGAAGCCTGCAATGTTTGCAGGCGGGTGACTTTGAGGAGAGCTGCCTCCGCTGAGGGAGGTCAGTGAAGAAAAGTCCAGCATGGTACAGGTCACGGGCAGGCAGGAAGTTGCTGCCCTGCGGAGGGAGAGAGTTGGTGAAGAGGCACCTGCGTAGTCACAGGTGGGCAGAGGGAGTGCTGCCCTGGGTCTGTGCAGACTGCACTGATATAGTCTTGTTCTGTTGGGAGGGGGCACTCCTTGTGATATGAAATGGGGGCAATGTGAAATGTAGCAGACCACGCAAGGCCTAACCTTGAGCTATTTCAGGAGGACAAGTTAGGGCTCTGGGGAAATTCCAGGCCAAAACAATAGAGGTCGGGTTTCCGTCAAAAATAAGAAGTATTCACCCTTTGTACCTGAAACATGGATGTGGTGAAATGCTCCGCTGCTTGTAACAGCAGTTTGGCTTCTGTACTCCTGCTTGCTGTGGCAACTGCAAACTTCCAGGTACAGTTTTCGGCTTTAAAAATGCTTAATGATGGAGGACAAGAATAGAAAGACTGGAAAGGAGGTGCCCCAAGACCAGAGCCTGACTCACAAGGAAGGAGTCAGTCACAAGAGGGAAATAGCATGACCATTAACCCAGCTGTAGAGGTTGGACCCTTAGGCACCAGGGCCTTACCACAAGGCATGAGACCCAAGCAGGATCAAATGCTACAGGGAGTGCAGCACAGACCTGAGGGGAAAAATACAGAGATTGGGCCCATCCTGGAATCTCCACTCCCCATCCTGGCGTCTTTGGTCGCTTTTGGATTCTGCGTGGTTATCCAAAATCAGCAACCAACTGACGGCTCACAAGGAGTGACCCCTCCCAAACAGAAAAGGGCTATATCAGTGCAGTCTCTGCACAGGCTCGGGGCAGCACTCCCTCTGCCCACCTGTGACTCTGTGGGTGCCTCTTTTCACCAACTCTCTCCCTCTGCAGGGCAACAGCTTTCTGGCTGCCCGTGACCTGTACCTGCAGGGGCTTCTTCTCACTGACCTCCCTCAGCAGAGGCAGCTGTCCTCAAGGCTGCCCACCTGCAACCATGCAGGCCTCTCTCAGCAAACCTTTCCCTAATAAAGCTGTTCTTTAAATATAACTAATGTCTCTGTCTCATGGAGAAACTCGCCTGGGGAACTCACTGCGTGCCGCTGAAATGGGAGCTCTGGTGAAACCTTTCCCAGAGTAAACCCAAGGACCACGCAACTCCAAAACCCCATCATTTTGGCACCCAATGTTCGGTTTTTCACGGCATCAGTAAGATTTCTCCAGTTTTCTCTATCTCCATGCTATTACAACCCCCTTTTCTGAGAGGAGCCGGTGTTCAGCTACTGCTTGGCTGTCCTACACGGACTGAGGGGTCCAAGCCAAGGCTACTCTTTGGCAGGCCCTAAAACGTGGAGTAACGGCCTTCCAGTTGCCCTTGGTCTGACCAGGTGAATGCCTCATGTCTCTCTCTTTGCCTCACTGCCTTGCTTATCAATCTCAGTAAGCGGCCATTCCCTCTCTGCCTTGGGAAAAGAGCTGGCTCCTGAGTTCTGTCTTCAAACCAGGTCTTGCTCTCGCCGCAAAAAAATAGTGGGCACAGGTCAGCCATGTAAGAGGCCACTAAGGCCGGCTGCCACTTTCTAGAAGATTCCTGTGAAAGTGTTAGGGGGAAAGGAAGTCCTGAGCAAGCTCCATACAGGCTTTGTGGACTCCACCCCCACTCCAGACCAAAGCCAGCAAGACACTGGGAATGACAAATCCCATCATCACTAAAGGGAGGCTTGCTGGGGCCTGAGGGTGGAGTTAAGCAGCCAGGTTTGGTATAAAACCAGACATGTGGGCCTTGGGTCGCTCTCTTGGCTTCTAGGCTCTTGGCTCTTCGCCAGCTTGATACAGTTAACAAATTTGTCTTTCCCCCATTTCTTGCAATTCCCCCTTATCTAGTATTAACAGGATTAGAAGCTTATCTTTCCCCATTGGTTGCAGCTTCCCCTCCCCTTGAGAAGAAAAACAAGTTGGGGCCCACTGGTTTCCGGTTTCCATGCAGACACTTTCCCCCTCCCTTTAATGAAAACAACCTGGCAATCGATCACCTGTCTCTGTGCTGACACCTTCCCTTTCCCTTAAGAAGATGAATGAGCTGACACCCATGGGTCTCTGTGCAGACCCCTTCCCCTTCCCCATCTCTGTGCTGACACTTTCCCCTCCCCTTAATGAAAACCAGCGGGCACTCATCCATCTCCCTGTTGAGCTGGCGCCCACTTGTCTCTGTGCAGAATCCTTCCCCCTCCCCATAGCAGCCCCCTGTCCATCTCCCCCTTGTATAAATACCCCGCACTCTGCCAATAGCAGGACAGTGGTCTTTCGGGCATGAGTCTGCCGCCCTCCTCATTTGTCGACAAATAAAACCACTTTCCTTTTCCTCACACTCGGTTTCCTTTTATTGGCTGAGGGAAACTGAGGCTGGCGTACAGTAACAAGCTGTCAGCATGACATTGGGATTCCAGGTCAGTGGAACAGGTAGGACGTGCAGAGGGTCAGACTGGGCACTGAGCAGGTTTTCTGATCCCATGCAGACCAGGTAAAGGAGGAGTCAGAATCCTCAGTGGTTTTGCAGGTTTTTATTGGGGTTCAGCGGGTACGTGACAGGCAGGGGTGCTGGGGGGCTGGGAGGCTGGCAGTCCTCCCAGCCCCCAGCAAATCTTCACTCTGTCTAGACTCTCTGGCATTCTCTGCTTCTTTCTATGGCTCTGCTTCTCTCTCGGCTTCTCTTTCGGCTTCTATTTCAGCTGCTGCCGCTGCTGGCGTCCCCATGATGCTGCCCTTAAAAAGCCCAGTCTCAGCCCAGGTGAATCCCATCTACCTATGCCCACACCCTACTCCAGGTGCCCGCCATCAGGCATGCATTCAGGACAGCAAGGATTCATCATCTATCCTGATGGCGGGAGGGCAGAAAAGCCTGACATTTTCCTTACCCTACAGACGCATTCATGAGTTTATCTCCCTCTTTTTCTCCCTGAGTTATTAATTTCTTCATTTTCCCTTTCTTTTGTACATAAACCTTCTATTAACCTTTTGTGTGTGCCTGCAGTTTAGTATTAATAAGTCTCTTAAGCACGCGGGTGAGGACCCACATTCAGGCAACCCATTTTTTATCGGGGTTGCTCTGTAACAAAAGGATAAGTTGGTGTGCGCCAGGTTAGCTCTAGTCCCGCCAACTGCAAGACAAGGGGTGCGGCAACAGGTCCTACATTGAAAATCATCTTATTAAATGCCAATGGGTTTCCTTGTTAACTGGTATTAAGATAAGCCATACATGGGCCAAGTACCAGCTATCTTTCTTAAAACATTTCTAAATAAAAAAGGAGCCCGAGACAGCCTTCCTTTCCACCCAGAGAAGAGAGAATGGCAGGGAGAGATAGTAAGTCGAGGCCTGGGGACGCTCAGGCCTGGGGAGTTCTTCCTCAGCATGGGGACGCCCACAAAAATAGGACTACTCCCCTGGAGAGTATACCCGTGGCTACTCCCCACCCTGTGGGGGAACACCAATGGCTGCCCCCACTGTAATCGGTCTGGGACAGGTTCAAGCTCTCTTCCAGCTTCTCATACGCTGGGGTCTGCTCCCTCCATTCCCGTGGACTCTACTCTGGGTTCTCTCTTAAAACACCTTAATTCAGCCTGACATTCTTACAAAACTAACCCTCGGCTATAACACCATTCTCTAAACCGTCACTTTGGCTGAGGCAAAAGAGAAAAAATACTGAAAAATAAGATGGGGAACACTACCCTGGCTGACATGTGTGGGGTGCCCCATTGTTCTCAGCTAGCAGCTGCCTGGACCTTTGCTCCAGTGTTGAGATCATTGGTATGTCCCCCACCACACAGCAGTGGGGGACTGGGTTTCTTCTTTCCATCTTGATATATTCCTCTGGTCTAGGTAGGAATTTCTGCCATGCCTTCCACTCTTAAGGTATGTTTGGTTGGTTTAAGGAAAAAAAAAAAAAACTATCAACTTACTTTGGTCTTACTAGCAGGTTATGTAGGATGCTTTATTGATTAAAAGAGAAGATAAAAGAACTTAATCTGCTGCCTCTCTTGTCCTCACAGTCTGTAAATAAGGTGCTCTCTTGTCTTAAGGAAACTGGAAAAGGGATTGTCCTGTTCTCCGAAGGGAGGAGGGACCAGACTCTCAGCTGCCACCCTAAGCTTCCTGGTTGATGACTGATGCCTTCTGGACAAGTGACGCCTCCTGGATGGAAAGTGACAGGGCAAAAGGACATCGACAGCTCCCCAGCTGACCATCTCCATGGCTGAGCCTGGGGTAACCCTGGATGTCATAGGTAAGAGTATTAATTTTCTGATTGATACAGGAGCCACTTACTCTGTACTCACCCGACATTCTGGACCCACCTTCCCTTCCTCACAGAATATAATAGGAATGGCCTGAACACAATCAAAGATCACTAAATCTGCTTACTGCCACCCAAGGAAAACATGTGTTTATTAACAGGATAAAACACATGTTTGAGTAACTTAATTTCTGGTCCTCTTTGACCTACAGATAGAACTAGCACTTTCTATATCTGTTTTATATAAGTTTGCTCTAGCAGACTCCCCTTTATGTGACTGGTGCTCCTGAACACGTGGAATTGTCCTCACCTGGAGCCCGAAAAGGGTCTGACACCATCTTTCTAATACCTGCTCTGCCTCAAAATTGGAGGATATAAAACCATGAAGTCATCATACTCAGGCAAAATCTAAACATTAAAAAAGTGGGCTGCGGTCCTCACTCAAACTTAACTTTAAAGCTCACCCACATTCCTGACTAGCCTCACAGTGATCATGCTCATGACACTTGGTGTCCCTAACAAAGCTAAATAACTAGTAGTTTTCACTGGGCTTGCAGCTCTGCACACACACAAGCCAGCCCTCCTGCTGAGTCCCTGGCTATCTGCATCACTCCAGCACCTCAGGGCTACTCTGGCAGGTGTTGCCCTAACAAAAGATTTTGGGCCACATATGGTGGGGGGGAGGGAGGGAAATGACAGAGGACAAAAATAGAAAGACTGGAAAAGAGGTGCCCCAAGACCAGAACCTGACTCACAAGGAGGTGGGGGTTGAGGTGAATAACATGACCATTAACCCAGCTGTAGAGGTCGGGCCCTTAGGCACCAGGGCCTTATCACAAGGCAGGAGACCCAAGCAGGATCAGATGCTACAGGGAGTAGAACACAGCCCTGAGGGGAAAGATACAGAGATTGGGCCCATCCTGGAATCTCCACTCCCCATCCTGGTGTCTCTGGTCCCTTTTGGATTCTGCGTGGTTATCCAAAATCAGCAACCAACTGACGGCTCACAAGGAGTGACCCCCCCCCAAACAGAAGAGGACTGTATCAGTGCAGTCTCTGCACAGGCTGGGGCAGCACTCCCTCTGCCCACCTGTGACTATGCAGGTGCCTCTTTTCACCAACTCTCTCCCCCCCGCAGGGCAGCAGCCTCCTGCCTGCCCATGACCTGTATCTGCCAGAGTTTCTCCTCACTGACCTCCCTCAGCAGGGACCGCTCTCCTCAAGGCTGCCTGCCTGTGACCCCACAGGCCTCTCAGCAAACCTGTCCCTTTCCCTTTCCCTTATAAACCTGTTCTTTAAATATAATTAACTTCTCTGTCTCGTGGAGAAACTCACCTGGGGAACTCGCTGCGTGGCGCTGAAACTGGAGCTCTGGTGAAACTTTTCCCAGAGTGAACCCCAGGACCCCGCAACTCCAAAAACCCCATCATTATCACCCCCTGCTGGGGCTGCTCCCTACAAGAGGGACAGTCGCTGGCAGACTAATTAAGGCTTTTTTTTAATCTGCTTCAGACTTGGGTCTTAGTCTCGGGGAGACGCTACAATAGTGAGCCTTCTGATGAGTTGCTGATTTTGGATAACTGCAGAATCTGGAAGGTGCCAGAGACTCCACAATGGGCTCATCTCCATATCTTTACCTTTGGATGTGCACTCTCATACCTGCTTGGATGATATTCTTTGTAATCTAGGTGTCCCCTGCCCCAAGTATCTTGGTTTCCATGGCTGTGTGGATGGCTATGCTAATCTTGTTATAGGACAGGGAGAGGGGCAGCTCAAAACCCTGCAAACCTGCCTGTTTTAAATGGGTTCTGCCATCCGTCGCATCAACACAAAACATATGAGACTTTAATGGGAAGGAACTTTAATAAAACTAGGAAATAATACAGGTAAGGCAAAGAGTCTAGTTTCTAAATGAAGCACCCAAAGTTACCCGTCCCCTCGTGGGTAAAAGTCCATCCATATGGGAATGGCCCAGAACAAGGCCCCAAAGCCTGCCACAAGTCTAAAGCATCTTCCAGTGGGGACCCACAGAAAAGGGTCACAAACTACCAGACAAGCCCGGAAGGAAAAGAGCAAAATCAACATCAAGATAAAAGCTGCCATTGTCACCTCCCCACAGGTCTCACCCACATCTGTGTCACCCAGTCCACGACCAAAAGACAAGCGCAGTTTCTTCACGTGTCTCTCGGCTCCATGCGCCTCCTCCAGGTCTCCTGGCTCCATCCTGCTTCCTTCCTTCCTCAGTTTCTTCTGTAGCTTCTCCTCTCCCTGCTCAGCTCCACCCTCCCTTGGGTGGGGTAGGGAACCTCCCCCTTTCCTGGGGACCACCCTGTTACAACCTCGCCTACCCCCACCTCCTGTGTGAGCCAGGCTTCCGGTCTTATGGTGCCTCCTTTTCAGTTTTTTCTATTCCTGCCTTCCATCACTAAGGTCTTTAGAAATTATGGTGATGTGAGCTAACATTGAGAACAGATTTTCTGGGGTCTCAGGCGTCCCCATGACCTTTAAAGTATTTTGTGCTTCACTCAGTTAACTTTTTAAAGTCACCCCAGGAGGGTCGAGGTGATGCTCCATTGAGTCCACAAGATCCACCTGCTTCCTTTTCTGGCCCCTCCTGGGAAGCGGATATGACTCAGCCTTTGGATTTCGGGAACAGCCAGCGTATCAACATGGCTGGAGAACCCGGGCAGATAAGGTAAAGTGGCCACGCTGGCAAACTGCCAGGAGAGGAAAGGTACAATTGTTACAGGGCAGGGAGAGGGGCAGCCCAGACCCCGCAAACCTGCATGTTCTACATAGGTTCTGCCATCCGCCGCATCAATACAAAACATATGAGACTTTAATGGGAAGGAACTTTAATAAAACTAGTAAACAATACAGGAAAGACAAAGAATCTAGTTTCTAAATCAAGCACCCAAAGTTATCCGTCCTCTCGTGGGTAAAACTCCATCCAAATGGGATTGGCCCAGAGCAAGGCCCCAAAGCCTGCCACAAGTCTAAAGCATCTTCCAGGGGGGACCCACAAAAAAGGGTTAGAAACAACCAGACAAGCCCGGAAGGAAAAGAGCAAAATCAAAATCAAGATAAAAGCTGCCATGGTCACCTCCCCTCGGGTCTCACCCACATCTGTGTCACCCAGTCCAGGACCAAAAGGCAAGTGCAGTTTCTACAAGTGTCTCTCGGCTCCATGCGCCTCCTCCAGGTCTCCTTCTGGCTCCATCCTGCTTCCTTCCTTCCTCCGTCTCCTCTGCATCCTCTTCTCTCCCTGCTCAGCTCCACCCTCCCTTGGGTGGGGCAGGAAACCTGGAACCTCCCCCTTTCCTGGGGACCACCCTGTTACACAATAACAGGAGAAGAAAGGAAAGCAGCCAATCCCTGCGCCCTCCCCCATCCACAAAACCGGCTCACCCCTCCCTACACAAGGGAGAAAAAAAAAGAACTAGAGATCCAGCAGGAGAGGGAGTGCAAAGGAACTGCGGACTGCAGGTACCTCGCCTCGCAACTGTGGAAACCAGAGGAAACCACCCCCGAGGTGAGCGAAAGGCACCAGGGAATCGCAAGGCAGGGACCCCGCGGAGAGACCCGCAAACAGCCTAGGGCAGCCGGGAGCGCGGAAAGCACGGGCGGTTGCGGCGGCCCAGGTCCCCGCCCGCGCCCTGGGGCTGTGGGGAGATGTAGGAGCTGGTGCTGGGGTGAGTCTCCGTAGCGGGATTTTGTCATCAAAACTAGTCCTTGTTACGGATGAAAATTAAAGTTTGGTTTTGTTGCAGAAATAAATTCTAGCCTTTTACCCAGGCAAGGCAAGAACAAGTGGTACTTCAGAAATGGTGAAAGTCAGGAGAAGCTTTATTACTCATGTGTGAGGTCTCAGACCTGGGCAGTTCCATAAGGTCTGAGCACCTGTCTAGAGACAAAGGGTTTCTTTTATACACAACCATCTTACACTGACAACAGTGGTTAGCGAGCACAACTATTTGCTGTAAAACTCCTAAACAAAGGGGGAAAGATGGACATTTGGGGACGTCCTTCGAGAGAAAAATCAGCTTGACCAGCTGTCAGACCTTGTTAAACTATAACCTCGTTTAGATAAGCTAAAACTTAGATGGAAAGGTTGCTAAGGAAAGGTTTATCAAGTAAGCAAACTTATTATTTACAATGCATTGGATTATTTATGCACCAGGCCTCAGACCCTTTAGCAGGAAAGATTTATTTGCTTAGCAGTTCCTTTTCTTTTTTTTTAAGATTTATTTTATTTATGCAAGAGCCGGGGTACAGGCCAGATGTGTGGGAGGGTAAGAGGATTGATTCATCAGAGACAGAGAGGGGAACAGAACAGGCAGACTGATGAAACACACTGCTGAGGGGAGCAGCGGGCCAGATAGGAGAAGTCTGCTCGTCATATGGCTTGCTGGAGGCTGAGGCTGGCAGGGATCGAACTAGCACTGCAGAGGCTGTGGATAACTTCACAGCCCTCTGCTCAACCGCCTGTGCCGCCAGGAAGGCCCTGCAGTTCCTTTTCATTTACCCCCCTTTTCTGCCTTTGTTGTTATATCGTAAGGCATCATCCTCCAAGGTGTCCAGCTCAGTATCAATAGGCCGGTAGGGGATGAGGAACAACTGGAGCTTACATATGAAATTTGTAAGCATACATTTACAACAAAGCATGATTGTTTGTGTGAAGTAGCACATTGATACACTCCCTGAGCACAGGCAGGTAAGTGCCATCTGTGTAGCACAGATCTTAAAAGTGGGAGTCAAAGGGTTTGTAGCATTTCCCGCAGAGACACAGGACCTAGTGATATCTTTGGAGGGACAAACCTGGGTCAGAGAGGGTGAGGGGCAAGTGTAGGAGGATACTGGCCAGCAGGCTTATTTTAGCAAACATCTGTAAACAGTTACATCCACACACAGTTTCGGGTAACCTAAGGCAAGAGGGCGTGCTTCCCTATCCCAGTGGTCAGGGGCCACTGTGGCTAGGCCACTGCAAGACAG